TCCTTCAAGGCTCAGGGGTCCAAGATTATCTTCTGTGTCTGTGTTAATTGGTTTCCCTTTTCTTTGTTGAAGAGGGTCTGTGCAATCCTTCTGCCTAGTCTGCCATCTTGCCCCGCCTCCTGAATTAAATTTATCTAAACTTAAAATTTACCTAAATTGCAAAGGAGGTGACATTTGCTATGGTAAGTAGACTGTGGCAGGAATGAGTAGGCACTGGATTGTGTGTGTGTGTGTGGTAAATATGTATGTAATAAAACATTTGCTGTTTCAACATTCTTCACGTGTACAGTTAAGTGACATCATGTTCATCATCAGTCAACACATTTATCTGTTCACAGATTTTTCCATCTCTTTTTAACAGAAGCTCAGTGGCCCCTAAACATAAGAGTCCGCTTTTCCACTCCATGCAGGTACCATGGACACTTTTGAACCAAAACTAAGAAATGTTTCTATACAAGGTTTTAGAGTTTAAGATGTTTTCGTATATATTATCTTTTGATCCTCACTATACCTCAATGAGGTAGGCATTTTGGACTCTGTTTTACAGGTGTTGAAAGTGAGCCTCAGATGATGGGTTTAAAACCCTCTGGGCTCGGGCCGGGCCTTCTGCCCCTGGAACCTGCCTGCTCTCCATCACACCACACGGCCTCCTTAGTAATTATAACCAGATCTGACCAAGCATGACTGCTAACTATTTACAGGGGATATTCAACTCCGTGGATCTGTTAGATTGTACTTTGTCCCTGTCGACTTCACACGTTGAAATATTCAGCTCGTAAGATAAAATATTTTGAAATGTTTATGGCTTTATGAACCTTACATGATTATCTGGATATGGTTTGATCCTGTGAGTACAAATACCTAATGGCAGATTTTGCTGTTCACCTATAACACCTGTGGTGCATCCAGCTCCTTTCCATTTCCCCAAAGAACCATGGAAACCAAGGTCAAGCCTTGCTCTGGTACCAGTTTCAGGCTCTTGTATATGTGAGCTCTTTGGCTGTGTCCTCACTCAGAGACAGTGTGAGGAGAGCCCGAGTCTGCGCTGCAGTCACTGCATTAACTGCGCTTCCTGCTCCCCGGCCCAGGCAGGGAGAGACGCACAGCTGTGACCCTGCTTTCTCTCCTCTCTGTCTAGACCAGTGTGGTTAACTACATCGACCAGAGGCCGGCTGCTGAAAAAAGTGCTCAGTTGTTTTTTGTGGTCTTTGAATGGAAGGATCCTTTCATCCAGAAAGTCCAAGATGTGAGTATATTAATAGAGCCAACTCCCTGCCTTGAAACATTTTGCCTTATCCTTGCAGGCTGATAAACCTATCTGGCTCCCCGCCCCCCTTTTCAGATCATTTCAGCTTGTGACTTATGTGTGTTATAGATAATGGGTGCTAATTGATCTTTTCATTACTAGACCATTAGGTGGTGGTTGGGGGGGCTTCCCCTTTTTGTTCACCACCACTTGTCTGGTGTTTAACAGAGTGACCAGCACAGAGAAGCTGCTTAGTGATAATGTTAACAGAATGAAATGAGTAGAAAGGATGAAACTAGTGCCTTGACTACTGCTGTTGGCAGTGCTTCCTTTTTAATGGTTTTCTGTAGGGTAAGTACTTAGTATTTGTGGCAAGTCAGAGCAGAAAGGCACAAATAGAAAGTTGAGAGAGCGTCTCAATGTCAGAGTTAATGCCAGATTCTCAGCTCACAGGCTCAGAAGGTAAGAACAAAACAGCTCTGCTAAAGAAATATTCATGACACAACATCTATAAGAGCCAGTCCTGGATCTAATAAAAAACCAAATTCACTGCTGTTGAGTTGGATCTGACTCATAGTGACCCCTCCTTGGGTTTCCGAGGCAGTATCACTACAAAGTAGATTGCCCAACCTTCCTTACGAGGAGCGGCTGATGGGTTTGAACTGCCAGCCTTCTGGTTAGCAGTCAAATGCCTTAGGCACTACGCCACCAGAGCTCCCCCCAGATCTAATACTGACTGACGTTCAGATCATCACAAAATGTCCTACTGTGGCCACAGCTTAGGGGAAGAAGTTCCATAGATGAGACTCAATATGTAATCTTCCCATCCCCAGGCAGAGCCTCTGGGACACAGGTGTACTCTGTTGTCACTGCCACCACTACTGATTATGAATTGGCCAGGTTGGTACAGCTTACTGAACCAAAGCTTTAGATGGAAGATGATAACTTTCAGCCCTACAGATAAAACATAGGATCAAACATTTTTAACGTGTTAGGTTCAGGGTAAGTTGTCTACCATGAGCCAAAATTGAGTCTCATACCAGGGGCAAGCTTGTGCATTGCAACTCAGCTTCACAGCAGTCCTTCCCACTGACGGTGGCACAGCCATTCTATGTACGTGAAGGCAAAGGCCCATACTGCTGAAGGTCACCCTGCTAAGCTGGGACTTTAAAGAGTTCTACTGTGCCATGCCAGGGAACTTGGAAATCCAAACTGTGACCTCTACCTTAAAGAGTTTAACATTTAGTGAAGGAGCAATTTGTAGCTATAAAATGACTAATTTTAGGCAGTGACTGCCAAAGGAGTTTATAGAATATCTGCAAAAATCCACATAGGCTTTTGTTAGTGGTTAGAGAAAGCTTTGAGGCTTTGAAGGATTTGTACGGCTAGACAGGAGGAAAACATCACAGGCAGAGGAGAGAAGGAACAAAGGCCTGGAGGGAGGCAGGAATCCATGAGGTGTATCGGAGAGGAAATGCAGCTGTGGGATACATGGGAGGAGAAGTTTGAAACTAAGGTAACCAAGATGGGAAGGAAACAAGAGGAACTGCCTTTTTTACTGGTTTGATATGGCAGTGCTGAATATTTTATTTGTGTAGAGCTTTTCTGGAAAACTTTTGTTATTTTTCTTTCAGAATCTTATTATAAGGGAGGCACTAGTATAGTTCTTCTCAAACAGGGCTGTGGATATTAAAGGCTTAGTGTGAAATATAATCATGGTGATTCTAGAACCCATGTGTTTTTCTTATAATCTCAATTTAAGGAGCTCTGGAAAAGAATACAGGGAGCTCTGATGGCACAGTCGTCAGTGCATTTGGCTGCTAACCAAAAGGTCAGTTGTTCCAATCCACCAGCCACTCCACAGGAGAAAGATGAGGCTGTCTGCTTCTGTAAAGATTTACAGCCTTGGAAACCCTATGGGGCAGTTCTACTCTGTCCTTTAGAGTTGCAATGAGTCAGAATCGACTTGATGGCAGTAGGTTTGGTTTGGTGGAAAGGAATACTAGCATGACTTAAGAATCAAATTGTAGTAAACCAAGCAAACTAGTATTTGTTTATTTTACAGATAATCACTGCCAATCCTTGGAACACAATTGCTCTTCTCTGTGGGGCCTTCCTGGCATTATTCAAGGCAGCAGAGTTTGCCAAACTGAGTGTCAAATGGATGATCAAAATTAGGAGGAGATACTACAAAAGAAGAGGTCAGGCAACAAACCACATAAGCTGAAGCCACCTGTGTCCAAATTAATATAAGTTCTCATGACTTCTGCTCTGATCAACCAAGCTACCAGCACTTGCTGTCTTCACTTGAACAATAGGGCCTTGCTGGCAGTAACAGCCTGTCTGGAACTTCTAACCTGGCCCCAAAAGAGGATGTTTAGAGCCTAATGGAACAGAGCCAATGAATAACCTCAGTTATTTAAGTATTTAAATTATTAACAAACATTTTTAAAAGTTGTCCAATGACATGAATAGGGTTTGTAGAAGACAGAATGATATATGTCACGTTTTCTAAAGTTACTCAGTTGTGGAAGAAATGGTTTGGTATATAGTTAAGCTCAAGCAGGTTAACTAAGGTTCTACCTTAGGTGTCTCCCTGAGGTTTTTAAAGTAGATAGAAGAGTGTGATTTTCTTTTTTTAAAAGACTTGACTATCTAGATGTGTGGGTTACACTTTGAAACCTGTGTACTGTACACAAATGCAAAACCCTCATGTCTCTGGCATTATCTGCCTTCTGTGTTGTCTAGCCTCTGACACATTCTATCTTATGTTAAATGAGACTTTTTAAAAAAGCTACTAGAAGCTAGTAATTACACTTCTTGTGGACAAGCCAACTAGTTGTCTGGCTAGAGCATTTGTTAATGCAGGTATAAAAGTTTAGAGCGATTAATACTCCAAAGCACTTAGATGTACATAGCAGGTTGCTTACTCAATGTATCTGGATGATTTTCTTAATGAAAAAACCCTCCAAACTCACTGCCATCGAGTCAGTTCCGACTCTCAGAGACCCCCATTGGGTTTCCGAGGCAGTCAATCTTTATAGAAGTAGATTGCCCAGTCTTCCTTCTGTGGAGTGGCTGGGGGGTTTGAACCACCAACCTTCTGGTTAGCAATTAAATGCCTTAAGTAGAGCGCCTTCATTTTCTTAATAGGTAAGAAAAGTCAGGCTAATATAGAAAAACTGAGTGTGCGGACACGAATATTTGCTTAGTCATAGGCACTGATGCTTTTTTATTCTGTGACCTCCGATAAGAAAGGCAGCATAAGAGTCTAGACTCCCGAGATGGATCAAGGTTATAACTGCGTACAGAATAGTAGGCTGGGACGGTGATGGGTAGGGATGGTCAGGAAAGGGACCCTATCAAGCCTCATGGATAAGCTGTGTTGAGCCTCACCATGTCTTACGTAATAACCTGAGAAATGGGCTTGTAGCCTACCCTCTGACAAGATGATTGTTTAAAAAAAAAAAAAAAAAAAAAATTTTCACAAGGTAGCCATTGGCTGGTTTAAAGTTACAAAAATTGTTACCAGGGTTTTTATATACATGCCCTTGACATCCAAGAGGATTTGGTAGCATTTCTTAAATTTCTTAATATGGCTGTAGGTAATTCAAAGAAAAAAAATTCATATGCATGGAGTAAGGCACTTTTTAATCTCATGTCTAACTTAAGTCAGCAGCAAAAAATTGTCTCTTAGGATGAAGTATTAAAAGTAAACTGTGTAAACAAATATTCCCTGCTATTCTTCTGTTCCATGAAAAGTGAAAACTTTACCCAAGGTGTCTTCTCTATAAAATCTTACTTTAAGGCAGATGCAGAGCCAGGTGTAAAATTTACTTTATAAACACTTAGGAGAACTTGTATTAACAGTATTGAAAAACAAGTTTGTGAGTTTTTTCATTTTGTTTTGTTCTTTAAAGTACAGGTAGTCCTCGACTTACAATGTATTCTGGTTACAACAACTTGCACTTAACAACATTCTTTTTTTAAAAAAGAAAATATCGGTCATAATATGTACTACATAACGATGTTACAGCATGTAATTTGCTGATATATCATTCTCAGATCAGATGTTCACTCACAGATGTTCAGTGTTAAGATTTACTGTTCAAAACAGTGCTGTGTAGCAGGCTATGAAAATTAAAAAAAATAAAGGTATTTAACTTTCAGCAGAACTGACTTAAAATGGAGTTGTTGGAATAGAACCTTGTCAGAAATCAGGGCTTACCTGGATCTCTAAAGATGACACATCGCTGTATTACTTAAATATCTAATAATGTTTGCTCTAATGAATATACTAAAACTACGTTTCTTGCATTATGGAAGACTGGCCTCTTGAATGTGCTATAGAATAACGAGATAATCAGAAAGTAAACATATCTTAGCTTATCAGGCTCCAGCAGCCAATGGTACTGGTTGGCCTCGGATTAGTGTGGGAGAGTCTGGAAGGACACATGACTTGGGTGGCTCTACAATATCTGTTGGGAGCTCTGGTAGCATAGTTCCTAAGGCACTTGATTGCTAACCAGAAGGCTGGTGGTTCAAACCCACCAGCCACTCCTTGGAAGGAAGATGGGGCAGTCTACTTCTGTAGTGATACTGCCTCGGAAACCTAAGGAGGGCTCGCTATGAGTCGGTTCTGACTCAGCGGCACATAACAACATCAACACAATATCTGCTCCTTGAGTTTGGTGACAACACGAACCGTTGAACCTGAAGGAAGAGGTTTGCCCAGGACCACAGAAAGCAAGAGGAGCTGCTTTCACAAGCACCTGGGAATGGCTTGCAGGAGTGCTAAAGGTTTTTAATGGATGTCAAAAAAGGCTGAATTAAACATCAGTAGCTGAAGACATTGTATGATAATGACTGACTTCTTTCTAATAATTCCTCTTGCCCCCTCCAACACACACCAATGCTGTGATTATGGATTATGAAATTTTATCCTCCTCGGTCTATGTTAATTAGAACATTTAAAATATGTTAAGCCTGTTCTCTGAACACACAGGGACACGAAGATGGAAAGAGAACCTAGAATTTGAGAGCACATTCCACAGTTTGCCTTCACAATGTCTATGTATACACATACGTATAGTATATTTATCAAGGAGGGAAAGTTTCTGAATGCTTAAGCTTGGAGCTGAAAAAACCAAAGATGACATAAGGCAAAATACAAACATAGACTTTATTAAATGCTGCTCAATCCCCCAATGAAGATCTTTCATTACAAAACAGTTTCCACACAACTGCAAGTTAAGAGATTGGAATGGTACTCTGATAATAAAATATGTGAGAAATACTTGACCAAGTAAAAACACGTAAGACCCTATAATCAACTTTTTCTGGACTCTAGAGGAAGGCTACTGCATTTTCTTTAAATAAGCCAGGCAGTGACAGCTAGCGCTCTGCATCACCACACTGTGGGACTCAAAGCCTCCATCCCTGGGTCAGGAGGGACTGGGGGAAGGGCAGGTTGTGAGGACTGGAAAGGCCCTGCCTTCAGCTTTGACAGAGGAAGAGGAGGAATGAATGGAGAGGCAACCTTCGTTCACCTGAGCTGCCTCTACTAATCGTGTGTTTATCACTCTCGGGATTTGTAGATGAAGGGAGATACTCAGGAGGAACAATCAAAAATTCTGGTTTACGTTCCCAGCTTTCATTTATATTTTGTGCTTTAAAAAACCTGGAAATTAAGTTTTCTGCTTAAATTCCAGAGTGCAGGTAATTCCCTCCATCATATTTCTGGGAGAGACAAAGAGAAGGGTAAAAATTATACCTTAGTTTTATTTTAGGAAATCACCTTTTTCCTAGAATGTAACTAAGGTGTTTAGCAATGTGAAAAGCACATTATAAAAGGGAAAAATATACAGAGCAGACTACTATCTATGTGCAACACAATCAAAAGAATTCAAGTCATAATTCTCACCACTCCCATAATTATCTCACTCACGTCATAGATGATAAAAGTCATTCATTTCTGTGAAACTTCCGAAGTGACAAAATAAATCTGATTAGACAGAGGTCACACTATACTGTGGCCATGATATAACACAGGGCTATGTTTAGTCCGTAGATTTTTTTTCATTTACAGTTGCCAGGAAAAAAAATGGCCTTTTAATTATATTATACTGATGAGGTTGGTTTCTCAATTTTTACATATTTCAAAAAAGTGTACAAAACTATGCCTATCGAGCAGAGGTGGTAGGCATATTTTTTTCTTTATTCAGCACTTGTATTGCTGAGAATACTGTGCATATTGTAAGCATTGTTCTGCTTTTCTAGCGCTTTCTTTAGCTTTAGTTCTTCTAACTTTTTCCATAATTCTTCACGTTCCAATTCCTTCTTTTTCTCTCTGTAGATAAAGCAAAATTTTTGTAATCAGAAATTTTTACTTCAGAACCTCAAGAAAGGTGATGTATTTGGCAGTTTACTGGAGAACACACTGTTCACCCACATTCACACTTCAGTCCTTCTAAGAGTGCCATTACCTGAACACCTGATTTTATCCTGTCCGTCTCCTAAATTTAATTAGGAAATTGTGCATCTCTTGTACCAACTAATAGTTCCTACTCTCCTACATACCATCACTACCACCACGTTTGTGCTTTATAGTTTACAAAGTACTTTTTATGTTCATTTTCTCACGTAAACCCTGCGTGGCTGGCCACTGGAGCAGTCACAGTCACTCTTGTAGACAGAGACAGAAGGGACCCCAGAGCCCTTTTTCCTCACCTCCCCGTGCAGAGCTCGACTCCTCTGCATCACAGCTGTAGCCGTCACCCAGATTGTCTCCTCCTACCTCCTGTCTCTTATGTGTCAAAGTAAAACTTTAAAATTCGACAAATCTCTCTCTCAAAAAAGATATATATAATTGTTTTGATTAGTGAATTTCAATTCTAAGGAAACCACCCTGACTAATTTGGATCAGACTACAGCCATGCATCACTTAACGTCCACAATACATTCTGTGAAATAGAATATAATGTGGTTTGGACGTTGTGCAAATACCATGTTCCATACTGGCAGTCCCTAGATTATGAAAGAGTTCCATTCCTATGTCTGTCTATAAGTCAAATTTGTGTATTATTTGGAACAGTTAAGTATAGTTAAGATATAACATCAGTCAAATGTCTGTCACAGTATACAGTGTACCTTTCTACATATAAAAACATTAAGGCAACAGTTCCAGATATTCTAAAACATCTTTAATACAATGTTTTGATGCATGTCGCAAAATAGCACCCATTTGTTATGTACCTCAAATTTTTAACATAGTAGGCTTTACTGGCGTTGGGACCACACATGTATATGTGGTTGGAAGTTGCCTGAATGGATGTTATATGGCATATGACTATATTCTGAAAGGCTTTATGACTGTAAAACAAGGACATACATGTCTGTCTACGGTTATATATGCTTTAAGGGGACAAAGGTGCTGATTTATGCAGCTATGGAAGAACTGATTTTTATCAGTCTTGTAAATAAACATTAAGTTTCATATGATCCTAATCATCTTTGTTTCCATTTCTTCTTGGGATTCAAACCATATACCCAGTTCCTCTTCCTGCCTGAAAGCTGCTGCTGCTATTGAAAAGAAACAATGCACTGAGTTGATTATCAGGCTTGAGATGGTCCTGAAAAAGGGCCATCCTTTCTCTGCTTGCCACAAGAAAAAATCGCAATTAGGAATGTGTGGTCAAAATATATCAGCTTTTCCAAACAGGAAACTATACACTAATGACCTTATTAGAAGTAAGCAATAGCTATTCTCCTTAAAAGGAGCTCTGGTAGCACAGTGCCTAAGGGATTTGACTGCTAACCAGAACGTTGGTGGTTCAAACCTACCAGCCACTCTGCGGAAGCAAGACTGGGCAATCTACTTCAGTAATGATTTATTGCCTCGGAAACCCAATGGGGTTGCCATGAATCGGAATTGACTCGAAGGTAATGAGTTTTTTTTTTTTTTTTAATTAACCTCAAATGATGGGTGAGCTCAGGTGTGGCAGCTACTGCACACTTTCTTGAGTTTAAATATAAGAGAAGGAAGAGATTTTAAAAAGACTATTCTATAGTAATTTATCAAATTCTCAAAGACAATTACTAAGCCAAGTTCCTAAAGGCTGATTTATGTTGCCATTTTTTCTTTAAAATATATTTTATTGCAAGGAGCAAAATGTTAAACTCTGAGCCATAGGCATAAGATCCCTTCTGCCCAAGGGAACTAGGCTGACTTCAGAACACCACCCTGTTAAGAGTCTGCTGCTCCAAAACTACCAAACTGCTGTGCAAAGACCAGTTGAAAACTAAAGCTTACTGTGGAAGCCCATCATACAGACAACAGTGATTTCATAAACACACATGAATAAGAGATCTAACTGCATAAATTAACATTTGAAATTCCATATAAATTTTATTTTACAATGCAAACATTACCAGCCTGATGAAGTCTAAGGTTCAGAACGAGATCAATAGAGAGGATTTATGATCCACATTAAATTATAATCTAACCTGTAAGGAAGTATGTTACATAACAACCTTAAATAATAAATGTTATCATTATTTCTGCCTCACAAATTAATAAAAAAAAATATCAGGGCTAACTTATCTGGAAATGACTTAAAGCATTTAGAGACTTTAAAATGGTAAAGCTTAATATAACTGACTTCTTATACATATTTTTAACTTAGAGTAGACACCTTATTGAACTGAATCTCATTGAACTAATGTGCACTGACTTAGTAATTTCAAATATCAAATACCTTTGTCTTTCAGCTTTGTATGAGCTAGTAAGGTCATCAAAAAGCTTGCCATTCATTTCCATTAGCGTTTTCAGCACATTGTATACGAGTGCTACGATAGTCCTAAAATGAAAATAAGCCAGAGTTGGGTTACTGATGCTCTAACAGTTTGAAAATGTAACACTGTCATCTGTAAAATGGAATGAATGTTGGCCAGTGCTTTTAATCCATTTTGGAGATGATCAGTAATTTGCTCAAGTCCCACAGGCAATGGTGATAGCTAAAAATGTCTGGTTATCTTCATTTCTCTCTAGGATCTCATGTCAAATAACAGTATTAATAGATGAAAAACGTCAAACTATGATAATTTGTAAGAAGAAATGTAGAAGACGGGATAAAAAGGATGCTTTAGAAATGAGGTAATATATGCATTCTAAGTGTCACTTATGTGACCTTTAAGCACTTCAGCTTTCCGGTGGGATGATGCCATCTGTAGATGTGAGACTACGTCCTGGGCACAGATCAACAAAAGTCCATTAACATGAGTGGCTGGTGCATCCTCCATAGATGGGGGCTGGTCAGGGTTTGACTATACACTAGGTGCAGAATGTTACATCAGAAAAGTGCTCCCTTCAAGGAGATTCAAAATTTAAGTTGAAGTTAGGACCAAGAGCATACAGGCACATTCAGTTACAACCTTCTAAAAAGCTGTATTTATTGAAAATACAGAACTGAATAAAGTTGAGTGGTGTAAACTTTGAATAAGTTCCAAATCTGTGTAGACTTCATGTAGGAGTTAGAAGATCCAATGATAAAAATGTTCACAAACACACACAACACATGAAAGCATGACCAACATAAAAGCTACTTACGGATTCCAGTGTTCTTTGGAGATTTTGTACAAACTGCCAAACATAATTGGCAGAATTTTGTCAATGTTCTCCTCAATCAAACTGAGAATATATTCATTATTCCAGAAGTACAATGCCCTTTCTGCAACCTAAAAATACATTTAGAAATGTCAAAACTAAAGAAAAATAGTATAAAATAAAAATGGCATCACTGAAAACATCATTACCTGAAAATGAGAACTGGATACACATTTAGATATCTGTTTAAAAAGTGGCTCTTCAATTTTTTTGAACTGTGTTGGTTCAATGACATCTAAGATTTCTTCAGTTTCTCCTAAAAACATCACCTACGTTAAAAAAATTTTTTTTAAAAAAACATGACAAAATATGTGTTGTTAATATAGAAACCATACAAATGATAAGGTTAATCTACAAATGACACAGTGAGCAAAACAGGTCTGGATGGCATACGCAGTTTAATTAACACACAGCTGTTCACTGCGTCCCTAATCCCTCGCAGGATGAACTCCTGCTTTGTAGCAGTGTCAGTATAGCCAGCCCCGAACAATCATAGCGTTTAGCCCTGGTCTTGAGAAGTTCTAAGAAAGTGTACTACATTTCATGAACAGAACCCACCTCTTTCTGACTGCATGTTTTTGGCCAAAATTTTAGCAATCCTCTGATCACCTGCAAAAAAGGAAAAAATTACACGAATTAACCAATGTAAAATTTTCTGTTGTGATTATACCGATATTCATTCTAAAGTAGATCAAAATGATGTAATATCTAAGTGTTTACCCAGACTTTTTGCTCAGCTTTAGATTTTTATTAGTTCAGTAAAACTCACTGCCTTTGAGTCAATTTTGACGCATAGCAACCCTTCCTTGGGTTTCCAAAGTGGTACCACTACGGAAGTAGATTGCCCATCCTTCCGAGGAGCAGCTGGTGGGTTTGAACCAGCAGCCCTCTGCTTAGCAGTCTAATGCCTTAGGCACTACACCACCAGAGCTCCCTAGTTCAGTGAAGAGGGCCTATTTTGTACCAGATACTACTCTAGATGGTAGCACACTGGTGAACAAGACAGTCGAAGTCTGATTTCATGGTGCTTACATTCTAATGTAGGGAGACCAAACAAGAAGTGAGCAATTAAATACGTAAATATACCAATAGTAATAAGTGCTATGAAGAAACTAGAGGGAAATAGGATGACGACTTGGTGGGGTCCTCACCACAAACGTGGCAGAGAGGTTATTTTAGGGAGCAACATTAAGGAACAGGTAACACCTGCTATTATTCAAACCATTATGAAGCACAGAAAAAGCCAGAAAGTTTCCCATTCCATAGCTAGAACAACCCTGATAACCAAATATAGCAGAACACAAGAAAGGAACTATGGATTTAAATGAATGCAGTTACAAAAAAGTGTATTAAACGGAATCCAACAGCAGAACAATTATTACATACCCAATTGAACCTTCTTCAGAAATGCTAGGATGCTTCAACTCATATTTTGAGGTTAAAGGAAAAAAGAAAACAAACTAGTTCTGATAAAAATTTAGTAAGGTAGAACTAAGGGCGTTTGTCGGAAACCATAAGCAATCACCTGACATAATGGTTTATAAACAGGCTATAAAAACCATCTGGGCCTGGTGCTTTGACAACCTTTTAAGTTTATTTCACAGTTAATAGTCTGGTCCAGTCATGAGGAATACTCAATTAAATTTGGAAAGAACATTTATCTGGAGTCAATCCAGTTAGAAAATTTGTAAGAGATGCTTTAGACATATGAAGAAAAGTGAAACTTTACGAATAGATGAGATGATACTGTACAGGCATTATTTTTCCTCTACTTAATCCATAAATTTAAAGGTCAACCAAATACCAACTGAATGACTTCATTTTTTAACAAATCTATAAATTTAAGAGAATAGCCAAGAACTTTTTTTTTTTTTTTTCTTTGAGGCGGGTGGGAACTAATAGTGCAGGTTAATTCTGTTAGTTCCCACCCGCCTCAAAGAAAAAAAAAAAAGTTCTTGGCTATTCTCTTAAATTTATAGATTTGTTAAATAAATGAAGTCATTCAGTTGGTATTTGGTTGACCTTTAAATTTATGGATTAAGTAGAAGAAAAATAATGCCTGTACAGTATCATCTCATCTATTCGTAAAGTTTCACTTTTCTTCATATGTCTAAAGCATCTCTTACAAATTTTCTAACTGGATTGACTCCAGATAAATGTTCTTTCCAAATTTAATTGAAATGAGTATTCCTCATGACCGGACCAGACTATTAACTGTGAAATAAAAAGGTATCGATATTATAGGAGCTCTGGTAGCATAGTGGCTAAAGCACTTGACTGCTAACCAGAAGGCTGGCGGTTCAAACCCACCAGCCACTCCTCGGAAGGAAGGTTGGGCAATCCTACTTCCGTAGTGATACTGCCTCGGAAACCCAAGGAGGGGTCGCTATGAGTCGGGCCGACTCGACGGCACACAACAACAACAACAACATTGATATTATAGTAACTACAACAAGGTCTATTAGTATGGAAATTGACAAAAAGATACAGGAAATCAAATAGTATTTAGAGAGACTCATGTGAAAATGGAGGTTTAATATATGATAATGGTAGGATTTTAGTTCCACAGAAACCAGATGAATTAGTCAATTAAGGGGTGGTACTGGGACCACTGGCTCACCATTTAGAAAAAACATTTGGTAGTCAGACTCCCCCGTGTCTCCTGATACCCCTTGTATGTGTAATTCCCTCTCCTTAAGTGTGCACTTATCTAGTGACTTACTTTCAACCAGTTGTTATGTTAATGTGTTAAAAGCAATGGACTGCCTCTTCCATGAGCAGGTTACAAAAGACTGTGAATTTCATCTTACTAGCAATTCTACTGCCTTCTTGGCTGTAAGCTTTGCGGAAGCAACTACTACATTGGAGAGGCCCACATGGACAAAGAACTGAGTGTGGCCTCCAACTAACAAAGAACTCAGGGTCTTGCCCCAACAGCTCTTGAGGAACTGAATCTTGCCAACAACAACATGAACTTGGAAGAAGATCCTTCACCACTCGAGCCTTTATGTGAGACCCAAGGCCTGACCAACACTTTGCCTGTAGCCTTAGGAGAGACCCTGAAGCAGAGGAGACTCAACTAAACTGCGCCAGATTCCTGATCCACAGGAACTGTGAGACACTAAGTATGTATTATTTCAAGCCACTAAGTTGTGTGGTAATTTGTTATGTAGCAATGGAAAGCTAACACAGTTTGTCACCCTTATCACAAATGAAAATAGTGAGTTGAATGCTGATCCCCAAAAGTTACGTCCACATCCTTATCTCCAGAACCTGTGAATGTGACGTTATTTCGAAAAAAGGTCTTTGCAGGTGAAATTAAGTTAAAACATCATGAAGCTAAATCATCCTAGCTCATTTGAGTGGGCCCTAAATCCAATGACAAGTGTCCTTGTAAGAGACACACAAAAGAGAGACAGAAGGGGGCAGGTAATGTGACCACAGAGGCAGCAACTAGGGTAATGTGGTCACAAGCCAAGGGACATCTGGAACACAGAAGCTGGAAGAGGAAATGGACAGAATCTCCCCTAGAACTTCTGGAGGGAGCATGGCCCTCCCAACACCTTCACTGAAAACTTTGGGCCTCCAAAACTGTAAGAGAATACATTCCTGAGTTTTTATTAAGTAATTAAGTTTGTGGTCATTTGTTACAGCAGGCCCAGGACACTGATACAGAGGAAATAAAGGCTTAAAAGTAAAAACCAGGTTCATAAAATATTTAGAATTAACTGCTAAAGAATACTGTTACAATCTCAGAGAGTATAAAGATTTTTTTCACTATGATATCAAGGCTAGAAGCCATAATGATTAATAGATTTTATATATCTTATATATTAATTCTGAAAGGCAAAGATTGAAAACAATATATCTAGAAGTTTAAAGAAAAATCTCAAATGGAAAAAAGTATTTGCAAACTGTAATAGGAAAAGGGTTAAGCAGAGGCAAACAGCATAGAAATATAATCAGTAAACATATAAAGGACAGCTCACTCCCTAAAAAGCCAATTAAAACAGTATTTCACACCTATTAGACTAGCAAAGATTTTCAAAACTTAATATTCAGTATTGGTTAGGGTGAGGTAAAACAGGCATGAGTATAGTCTGGATCAGAATATGAAATTGTGCCTTTCTGGAAGGTGACTGGGAATGTATTAAAATTTGTATGCACTCTTTGACCCAGCAACATGGGCCTTACTTTTATAAATTTGTTATTTTTAAATACTTAACATACAAAATCTTTATAGAAGCATACTGCCTCATCTTTCTCCCATGGAGTGGCTGGTGGGTCCAAACTAGCTGACCTTTTGGTTAGCAGCCAAATGCTTTAAACACTATGCCACCAGAGCTCCTAAAACAAACAGTATGGTTTAACTAGAATGTCTGCTTTGAGCACTGTGCTCTTATAGAGAACTTTCTATATGGGATCAAATTGTTAACAGCAACTTGAAAGGTTAGACAGGAAGCTTAGGGGGAAGAGTGTCCTTATCAGTGGAGGAGGGGCAATTTGGAAAAGCAGTGTGAGAATGGCTGTGCAGTTTGAAGAATATAATCAGTATCACAGTGCACATGTAATTAATTGTTAAATTGGTGTGTGTATGCTATGTATATATTCAACAACAATAAAAATGTTATAAGAAAAAAAAAAGCTTACATGCAGTTAAAATTATAGTTTTTCTTTTTTTGGTGTACAGTTCTACGAGTCTTTACATGCACATGGATTTTTTTAACCCCCACTATAGATGGTATAGAGTTAATTCTAGCACGCCTCAAAATACCCTCATTCAGAAACATGTTTTCAACAATGAAAAACTCAAATAATTCAAGTGACCATTAATATATGATTAATTAAAAATAGATTATCAAACCACACCAAACCCACTGCCATCGAGTCAATTCTAACTCTATAGGACAGAGCAGAACTGCTCCCGTTTACCTCACTATCTCCTCATACTGCTCCTATTTCCATTAATCGAACTTACTGAAACCAGGGACTGGCCTTCTTCCTTTTCCCCAATCTTTCACTCTTTACAAAGTAATCACCTATCTTCCATGTTGTTGTTGTTGTTATGTGTCAGTGAGTCAGACCTTTTTCAAAGCGACCCCTCTTTGGGTTCCAGAGGCAGTATCACTACGGAAGTAGATTGCCCAACCTTCCTTCCAAGGAGTGGCTGGTGGGTTTGAACCGCCAGCCTTCTGGTTAGCAGTGAAGTGCCTTAGGCACTATGCCACCAGAGCTCCTCTACCTTCCATATCCACCCCAAATTTACTTAAGTAAAATTTTATTTGTTTTCTGTATTTGACACTAAAAACAGCAACCATGACTTTTTGTGGGTTTTCTTTTTCTGAATTGTAATGGGAGTTAACATGGATTTGTATTAAGTTTTAATGTACTTTAGAAGTTTATGTGATTTCACATATAAATACTGGGCTTCTAATGTTTCTGATTTGTCTGTTAATATGGTTTTTAGCTGTTTCCAGAAATAAGTGGAAGTCTAAAAACCTAAAAACTCCAACAATCAAGGAATGGAAAAATATCTTTTGTTTCTTTACACAAAGTACAAGTCAAAGGAAGAATATTAAATACATAATTTTTTCAAGCACCCCAAAGAA